AGCTATTATGGTGTCTTTGGTGTTTGGAGGGTTGCGGCATCAGGGGAACAGGATTCTCAGCCTAGGATCTCAGGAGGACTCTTCCTTCATGAACTAATGGCAGCAGAGATGGCCAGGCCAGCAGTGAGGAGGGAGCAAGTCCTGGTGTAGCTGCCAGTCTCAGGATAGATAAGAAACCCAGAGATGTGAGCACCTGAAAGGCCATCCATATTAACATATGTTAATATGCCATAAAGTCTCATAGAAAATTTCAGAAAATTTCAATGACAATTCTTGGTTTGTTGGAGTTGTTTCTGTTTTTTCTTTGTTTTAGACAATCTTCCAGGAAATCAAAACTTTCCATTATTAATCATAACAGTAACTATCATCTACTGAGAGCCTAACATAGTCTAGGCCTGTGATGTCTAATACAGGTACTGCATGGGATTATTTAAATGTAAATGAAATAAAGTTAAAAATTCAGTTCCTTAGTCACACATTAGCTACATTGCAAATAATCACTACTCACATATGACTAGTAACTACCATATAAGGTGGTCAGAATAGGGGATTTTCATTATTGCAGAACATTCTATTAGACACTCCTGTAGGCACCCTCTAAATGTCTTGTGGGCATTGATCTTAACCCTCCTCACACCTTGGCATAGTAAATATTTTCACCTCATTTTGCTGCTAAGGAAACCCAATCTCAGGAATATTTGGCCAAGTTCATAAAAAGAGTAAGTGGCAGAGGTAGGACACAATTTTAAGTTGGTCTGGTTCCTAAGCCCCTTGTACCACGTTTCTTGATTCCAGTTTCTCATCATGAAACCTCCTTTTTCAAAAAGTCCTTCGAAAGGAAAAAGAATTTATATTCCAATAATGAAGACATCATTCTAATGTGCTCCTAATGTCAACAAGCCTTACCCTGTCATTGGATATCACCTATAAGCGATGAGAAATAAGCAAAAATTAGGACTTCGTCTTATAGAAATTCATGTTTTGTCTAGAGCAGGAAGGCTGTGTATATAGCTCTAAAATGTACCTCAAGAAAGTGTTTTTAAAGAACTTGGATGGAAAACTCCAGACATGGGAAACTAAGTTCATTGAAGAAATGGATAGCCTTTTGGAGAACAAATGTGAGTTTTTGCCAATGGAATGATGAAGGCGGGATTGTGATTGGAGTAACTAGTCTGTGTTTCCCAAGGGTAGGACCAAGCTTTGTCATTTTTTACTTCTACGCCATGTGCATGTTGCTGGCATACAGTAGTTGCTCATTATTTCTTGAATTGACCAATTGTAAGAATTTCCTGTCCTCATAAATCCTGACAAAGCAATTAGAATAATGGGATAGATGATACGATGTGGCATTTTGGTCAACTTTTGGATAAGAGCAGCCTTGCTCTTCTCCAATATCTGCAACACACGTGTCTTTGATATTGTGCTCAGTTTACGTGGCTAACACGTATTGTGGTTAACCCTCACAAACTCACTTGGAAGACAAGCTTCACCTCAAACCCCAGAGGTGCACAGCCTTCAACGTCAGCAGAACTCAGCTCCCATGGAGTCTGTGTACCCCACTTCAGAGGCCCATACGATGATCTGAGTACAGACTGTAAGTCCTTGAAGTTTGGGTGTCCGCCCTGGAAGGCAATTTGGACAGAAATTACCTCAGCTGTACTCAGACATGAGAGAGGACAACTTGTTTTTGATACAGGGAATAGGAACCAAGCCAGAGGGCAGTGGAGGGAATGGAGTAACCAGAGGGAAACACTCTGTCTTGCCAACTTTTTTCTACCTCTAGGCAAGCAGTCATCTTCAAAGCCACTTCCTTTCAAGGTTACAATGATAGGAAGCAGATCCTGCCTTATCCCTGCATGCCATGGAGACTCATACCTGATATTAATAGGACATTATCAGCCCAGGTGCCAGGCTCGGTGACTCACAAGGCAACAAAACCGTGGCACGTGTTGGGTGGTTGTGAGCTTTCCCAGAGATCAAATCCCAGAGCTGTGAACTTGTGCTCTGAGTCTGGGTAGGAAAGTTGTTCTCTTTTTCCAGAAGGGCTGCCTTAAGTCTCCAAGTCAGGGAACAAGGCCAGTGCCTGGGAATTGATCAACGAGTGATTTAACGGTTCCCTCTTCCTCGGGTTGTAGGGGACATGGATAAAGAAGGATCCGTAACAACACAGAAAATGTTCTAGGGATGAGAAGGAAGGAAAGTTCTCTTTAGCAACTCCTAGTCTCTGCTCGTTTTTAAATTTCTCTATAGAGCATTTTTGTGCTACGTCAGTACATTTATAAAGCTGCCTGGTCATGCTGGGGATGTGTTTCAGTTCATTCATTTAACAACCCTTGAGCCTCATTCCATAATGTCTGGCCAACCAGGTCCTATGTGCGCACACAGGAGGGCTTGTACACTAGCGACACTAACACTGGGGTTGGAAAGTGGAGAAGGTTCCCCAGGGAGAGAAGTCTGAAATAAAATAGACACAATTGTAGCAATTAAACAGGGAAGGGAATTCTATGTCATGGGAGTAGCATATGCAAAAGCCTATTCGTGAGAGCATGAATATTCAGGGAAAAGAGGTTCAGTGACTGGAGCATAAGACATAGAAGTGGGAGCATTACGGATGCTGATGGAGAGAGGGGAAGGCCCACATATACCCAGCAGCTCACATCAGCTGAATACTGGTATGAATCCAACACTTTCTGTGAATGGTTTCACTTACTATTGACCCTAGGAAGTAGTTACTATTATTTTCTCTAATTTTACAGATAAGGAAACCATGGCTTAGTGAATTTATATGATGTACCTGTGATCATTGTTCTGGAGTTAATTAACGAGAGCACCAGACATAATTAAGTTAGTTCTGGAATTGTTGGTCAAAACCAAATCTTAACCAAGCCCACTGAGCCCCAATGCCTTATACTTTGGTTAAAAAGATTACCAACTAATATTAGAATTTAATTATATAATGCATTCCTTTATTCCTTCAGTAATGAAGTCACCCTATATTTATTGAGTATCTGTGAGGTGTTAACTCAATTGTAAACACTAGGAATAAGACAGTGAGCAAAACATACATTTTGCCTTCATGGAATCTACATTTCTAATTAGGAGAGTTAGGCAGTTAAAATTAACAAAAATAGAATAAACAGAATTAGGGTTTCTTTTTATGAACAGAACTCTTTGATTTTAATATAATTAAGTATAGCCATCTTTTCACATAATCAATTTGAGAATATTTTCCTACCTTAAAGCCTAAAAGATAATTATTTCTGACTACAGTTATTTCCTAATATTTTGAAAACTTTAAATCTACAGAAATATTATATGAACAGTACAAAGGCTAAATTCAGCTAGATTTGTGAATTTGTCAATATTTTGCCATATGTAAAAAGTATTATTACCATTATTATTAGTTTTCTGAACCATTTGGAAATAAATGGCAGGCATTAAACATTTTACCCTTAAATTGTTAAGTATATGTTTCCCACATTCTTGTAATAACTCACAATGCAACTGCAATACTCAAGAAATGTTACACTAACACTGTTTT